GTTCTAGTCATTGTTATTATTTCTGTTGCTGTTTTTGTTGTCTCTGTTTCTGCAGGTGTGCAGCTAAGATGTCGGGTGTGTTGTCTTGTGTTTCCTCGATGTGTATTTCACATATCTTCTAATCTCTCTTTCACTCTTTCCCATTACATTTCACCTTTTTCTTCTCTTTCTTTTTCTTAAAAAAACGGTCACTGATGATAAAGAAACTAAGAAACTAATATTCAGTTCTGAAGTGGCAGCCAAAAAAAAAAAAGACCCATCAGAGTAACGATTTGACAAAAATGCTTTTGAAGAAATTTTGGAGCATGCCAATGCAGTTACTACTGGAATCCCAGCATACCTGTTCATCAGCTTTCTTCTATATTAATTTGAGACTTCCTGTAGTAACTATATAAACTGAAAACATGCTAATGTTTTAATGTATTAATTGTAAAAATTGTCTAGAGAAAATAAATAATAAAAACACTGATAGTAAATCCTTATGGTCACAATGTTAACCACACACCTGTAACTGTTACTTCTGGACAACACTCTTAATTAAACATTAAACTAAAGATTGTCTAGGAGTTGCATCAATTGTTTAAATTTTAACAAGACTTTGAATATTCAAAAATCACCACATATTCCATATTGTACAATCTACTACAACCTAAAGTTAGCACATATATATAGAGCTATAGAGCTGTAGGTTTTGATGTATTTTGAATGCTTTTTGTTTTTTTCATTGATGTGGTGGGAGTACCATATCAGAAGTCATGACAGAAATGAAGGAATAATGAGAGAATATTAATTAGAATGCTTGGTTACTTATGCATTACCCTTGGTAAAACCATTTATGAAAACAAGATAGATAAAAGCTATTTGGAAGTGGAGAAGGTTGGTACCCATTTGTTTTGTTTCCTTTAATGCCTGCAGTTATATTTGACTGCAACAAAGTCGTGGTTCACTCTAGACTGCAATACTTTAAATTTGACCAGTCAGGAACAAAAATACAACATATTCATACTAACTTTGTTCAGATCAGAGCGTCATGTGGCATTATTTGGTCCTGTCTAAAAATATATTATATCAACTTGATTGAATTGTTAAAAGCCATGTGCAAAGGAGAACAAAGGGGTGAATTAAGGTTCTATGTGTTCATTGGATGTAATAGAGCTGTTCTTTGCCCTGTAAGCAACTAAAGGAGAAATGTCAAGTGGTTCAAGAGGCTAACTGAAGGTGGAGATAGAATGGTCCCACTAATGGGACATGGTTTACTGCTGTGTCTAACTCGGCACCATGTTAAAATTAAAACCCCTCCACATGACCATGTGTAATTAATCAGGTGAAAATTATGTTAAGTTAATATGTCTAGTTACTATCCCTTCATATGCTCTGTTAATTTCTCTAATCCTCTGTGAAATGATTCATGCTTGTTAAAGATGCACTGATGTACTTAATTAAAAGATTGATTTTGCGTGGAACATAAAAACTGCCTGCGGTTTTAATTTTCTCACCTGAGCAGCGCCTGAGATTAGCTGTGCTGTGTCGCTGAACATTTTTCAGCTGATCTGGATACTGACATATATTTGTTCCTCTCCCGCTCTTTTATATTGCTATATCAGACAGTGCTTCAAAAGTAGAATTTATTCAATAAAGTTTGACTTTTCTTTTTGCTGCAGTCGTGGGGGAACTGGAGTTCTGAGGGAGCCAGTTGGCAGCATTCTTGCAGTTAGCATTCTTAATGATAACTCCTCCATCTGGTGAGGAGTTGTGAGCCAAAGGCAACAGATGGAATTGTTTTCACAATCTGTTTAAATATGTTGTCGATTTTTCTTCCCCTTTTAAACTTACCCCAGCAGCTCAGATGCTTGCTTTCTAGCAAGGAGATGTTTGGTTTGTATTTGCTGTCATGGGGCTCTAAGCCTTTTGTGAAAAGATTGCACCCTTTATATCTTCTATCTTGTCTATTTTAGCCTTTTAGAAAAAGCATGTAATTAGAAATCATTTATTGCCACAGCATGACTAAAAGCAAATGGTTGCTTATTGTTAGGTTGCCCTGTTGGGTTTCTTCTGTAGCTAGGAGTTAATTGTTTTTGTTTATCAGTAGGGCAACGGTAGAGTTCGTCTTTTTTGTTTTCTTGAAATTTGACTAGCACTTCTTGGTTTGCACAGATCTTAAAGCTAATTGACTGATAGAATTGACTGATCACCCCCACATATATGTTGTAATTTGCTGGAGTACACTTCTGAAATGAAGGTAGGCAGATTTGGACGAGTAATATACGTCCATGCCATCGTTTTTCGATTTGGACATTTGGGAATGTAGCATCAAATGTATTTTGTCATAGAAGAGCCCCTATGAAGTATAAAAATATGGCTGTAGAATAACAGGAAACTCATTTTGTAAAGGTTTAAGGTGCCTTCAACAACTCTGACTATTTCGAGAGAGAAGTTTTTGAGTGCCAATATTCTGCAATCCAAGCAAGTAAATTAGGAGCCCCATAAAACATTTCAACACATTTTAGAAACCCTTTCAAGAATGCTGTTCACCAATTAGTGGCCAGCAGTCACAGCCCAGTGAGGTATTACCTCTGCCAACATGGTATGGGCAATAAAGACAGCCTACCAAGCCCTGCCAGTGTGCTAATGCGCTGAGTCATGAATGTGCTGCCACCATTCTCCACCTGGGACCCTTATGATGCCATCATAAGAATAACCCACCAGGATCTTGCTACAGATGTTTTGTGTAGGGGTTTCCCAATACCAGTTAGTCTCAAACCACGGACAAGTACTTCTGTTTGGGTACTCGCCAATACTGAGTACTGATACTAGGTACTTACTGTGTTAGAGCCTAAAAATTACACTATGACATTAAGAACACATTTATTTAGAACAAGGTGGCTCACCTTATTTATAGGTCTACACAGTGGTGGGCAGCACTAATCTAAATATTAGTTGCACTAACCTTTAAAGCACTAACTCAAATATTTAGGTCCCCTAATTCTAAAGCACTAACACACTGAAAAATTTAGCAGAAACTAATTCTAAAGCACTAATATAATCCAGTTGACACATGAAACATTCTTCAAAGTCAACGTAAGACAATATTTACTGTGTGCAGAATATTGTCACTTAGTGCCCTTGGCAGGCCAAATGGGAGTCACCCGCAGGCCACATCGAGCACACATCATATCGAGCCTGACACCAATAATAGTATTGGTATCTGGACACCACTGGTTTTACGGATGCTAAAAGCCCTCCACAACCGATTCCATACGAAATTGTTAGCATACATGGTTCATAACACATGAAAACCTCAACAAAACATCACAAACACCACTGGCCTTGTTCTTTTTTGTACTTTGAAGCCAGATTGTAACCTTATCTGTTTGGAAAACTCTGCATAAAGTCTAAAGCTTTCTTAGTTAAATTTTTTTTCAGAAAGATGTTTTTATATACTGCTACTTTGCTTGATTATGAACGTACTTTATGTTCTCTGTATTGTACAACTTTTATAAATACATTTTTAGGCTTTAATATTAATTCCTGGTTCTTCATTGTCTTCTATAAACATTTAAACAAAATTACATTTTCAATTTTTTAATCAAAGTTTAACTTAACAGCATTTTTATTGATTTTAGCTACCAATATAAAACAACATTTTTTGTTTGAGGGTAAATATATTAGTTTTATTTTTGAGATGGTGTGAGAATAAAAAATACATCACAGACATTCTTTGTGTGATATAACCAACATTGTATGTGTGTGATTTTATCTCTGTTCTGATTGTCTAATCAGTTAATCAATCAGTAAGTCAAGCTCAAGGCAGCACAAAGTGCCTCCCAAAAATACAAAACGCAAAATAACAGCATGAAAATTAAACAAGAAAATATGTCAAAGATTAAGAGCAAAGCAGTGAAAAACAGCAATAAAAAACAAGGAAAATCAAGTGATGAAAGTAAAAACTTGTGTGGTACCAATAGAGTCCTAGGAACAACACCTCCAGAATTCAAACATTATCATAATCACACTCCTATTGATTTGGACAATTTTGTATTCACAGGATCCTATTTATTAAAATTCTAGTGGATGACTGGAGCTGAATTTTAGAGGTTGAAAATTGCCACCTCTGAACAGAAAGGCTTTTTATGCATTCAGCTCAGACTTGTGTGAAGTTTAATGGAATTTTGTTGGTGCTTAAAAGTAAAATGTTTCTGCTTCACAGAGAACCAGAGGGCAGAAGAGAAAAAGAGTTTCCATGGCTGAAGACAGAGAAGAGAAAATCGAGGTTTGTTTATTTTTCTGACCTGTTTGAGAGTTGGAGACTTTTTGTGTCTTTAAAGTGGTGTCATTTAAACCTGGCACACCTTTGCTTTGGAACAAGAGGCTCTTTGTTTTCTCTACATCCATCAGTAACATTGCTGAGTATCATCACCTGCTACAGTATAAGGCTTGCTAGTAAAAGCATTTTGTATTTGTACCAACAGTATCAAGCATCATGAAGGCTGAACAGAGCCAAACACTCAGAGCCTCTCAGACCCTTAAACACATTTTTAAAAAAATGTCCTTTACTGCTATAAATAGATGGGACTGATTAATTTAAAACATTTTTTACAAAAGTGCACAAAATTTACTTGCCTTTGTTTTTTAAAATTAAAGTATTTTCATGTTCAGAAATGATGAATTGCTCCCACTCTTCCCTTGGTTTAACATTTATTTTACATCTCCCAACAAACATCCGTCCACCTCTCATTTCTAATCATTGGTGTTTCCATAGGAACCACTGCCACGGGAGCGCCGACAACGCCAGTCTGCAGTGCAGAAAAAACCTAAAGCTGACGACACGAGGACTGAGTGTACAACTTGCAAAGGACCAGGCGACAATGAAAATCTAGTGAGGTGAGGTAATATGTGTGTGTATGTTTATGTGTGTGTACCTTTACATTCCCAAGAGTTCATGTGTGTCTCCTGGAGGAGCTATATCCTCCCGATGATTAAAATTCAGTCTTCATTAGGCTCCAGCCGCTCAGTTCTGCAGAGTGTGGGGGCCGAGGTTATCCTCTCCATAGGCCCCTATATTGACCTGCCACATACATTTGCTCACTTGATTAAAGTATAATGAATACCACAATTAATTCTCCTCCTTTCCAGGGATTTCAGGTGTTAGGCATTTAATAAACAGGATAATTCTTCCTTATTGCAGTTCTTCAAAACAGTGCAGGCGTCTTGTCAGCACGCTGTCATGTGATGACTCTTGTATATAAATACTTAGAGTTGGGACTTAACATTAAAAGTGCTGTAGTCTTTATCTAACTTCACCCAGGTTATTAGTAGAAGTGCTGAAGTATATATGTTGTTTCAAATAGGCTCCAGGTCAGTTTGTACCTTTGCCAAATTGTACTTTTGCTTTGGTCACCACAAATCTGTAAGAAAATGAAGTGTTCATTAACTGAAATCGAGACGAAACCACAGAAATAGTGAATAGATTAAAATGTGAACAGAAGAGGACCGTACGACCCCAGATCTGGTTACGAGCGTGCTTTATTTCTCCCTGCTGGAGTCAGCTAAAGCAGCGCTGACAGCAAACCGGAAGTTCCGGTCTTTTATACAAACACAGTTCTTCAGTGCCTGGTGCGCCCACTACAGGCCTACGGCTGCATCGTAGGCCACTCGAACAAACATTACCTTCCCTAATGAATTGATAACGGTTTTTCTGTTGGCTGTTGGTGGTTCGGGCATGTATCTAAACTATTTTTAATCAAGACATAACAATCGTCAAACAATAGATCATAAAAGTCAATACTTAAAAGGGAAGGAGCACAACGTCTGTATTTTCAAAATTATTCACAAAAGGCTGACTAATTTTGTCGAAATCCCAGCTAAAAATAATAAATATATGTATATATTTATACACAAATGCTGTCAAAATGTATGGTTTTGTTTTTCGAAGTTCTGTTTTCGTCTTCCACAGAATTAATTATTTTGCTCTGACTACATTTATTACTGGATTTATCTCGTGATCTTGCATGTCCTGCACACGCTTCTCAGAGCTTCTCTGCATCACACCGGAGCGGACCAGACGCTGTACGAATTGGGATGCAAACAAACGGCAGCGAACTGCGCACCGCAGCAGAGTGGAGCGGAACCACACCTAGTGTAAATGTTGTCACCCAAATCCCAAGACGAAGAACTTTAAACTTTAAGCTGCTATAATGATTAATATGTTTGCCTAAAAACACAAGCAGGTCAGATGTCTTTTCTCTTTATTTCACACAAGCAGCATCAGCTACACCTGCTCTGCTGAGAGTCTGTGCCTGGTGTAATAATGCTCTGAGCGACTGCAGGAGTTATTGTTTCTAACAAGTGCATTTGGATCATAAATATTTGTTTCATGACATAACAACCAGTGGGTAAATTATGTTGGAAGTACAAGTTTAGCAGCACTGAACGTGAAGATTAACATATTTATACCGATTCACAGACGTGAATTTGCCCAAAGTGACTGCGTGAGTACAGCAGCCTGGTGTCAGTACAGTTTTAGGATTAAATCTAAATTCATCCGTCTGTTGTGTCCTCCTATCAGCAGAATCAGACTTACTGGTTGTGTGGTCATTATTTTATTAAGCAGTAAATAATTAGTCTTAATAACTCATTTTTGTTTTTATTAAAACTGGGAGAGTTGAATCAAACTCGTTAAAACTGATTTATATCCTTAATGAATAAACTTGTAGGTCTGTATTATATCATCCACAAACCAGAGCTTTAAATTTTGTGATGTTTTGGTCAACAACAAATTATAAATGACATCTATATCATATGTGATCAGCTTGGATTTTGGGAAAGACGGTACCTTCAATTGTTTTTGTGATAGAGTCAAAAAAAGACCATTTTGCATCACAGCTTAGGAGCTACACAAACACACAAGGTCTTTGTCTACCCTCAGTGAAACCTAATCTCTCCTGTAACACAGGTTTTAATTCTTTCACTTTCAGTTTATTAGCAATAAACTACTTAACCTGTTCAGCTACTCAACTGAACAGCTAAAAAAATGTTTAGTCTTTTGACCTGTGTGCAATCATTCAATTAGCTATGGATCACAAAAGGTGATTTTAACGGTTTCAGCTTCTCTGAAGTGGCCACTACAGTAGATGTTTTTGTTCTCTGAGTCACATTGCACTTATATTTAAAATGAAGGTTAAAAAATACACTGTCTGAACTTAAACTATGTCTATGAGAAGAAATGTTTCATTAAGAAAAATTTAAGAAAAGTTTTATGTCTTAAAAATCAAAAATATTTTTTGTGTGCATGTGGTGTTCCTTTTCTCTTTTTGAAATTTTATTCTGAGTCATCCTTTAAGTTTTGAAGGTTTTCTGGTCGGGGTATGAGGTGTGCTGCCCTGACTCTTTCTATCTTTGCATTGCACAGGTTGTGAGAGCCGGGGCAGCCACCTCACCTTCCATAAAATCTCGGGACTGATGACCGTTGGCTTAGAGACAGAGAGAGGCAAATAGAAGCTCGAATCAGGCTGAAGAACAGGAAGGACACGTCGCCTCACAGCACCTGTGATCCAAACTGGACCTGCAGCTGTCCAACTAAAAACAAAACAAAAAAAAAAGAGCAGAACTGTGTGAATTTAAAACGTGGAATCCTAAATGCTGAAGTTCATTTAATTTGATTAGTCTTTGGTTGCATTTTGTCACAGTGCCAGTATGTAAACAGACTGTTGTGTGTAGGAATCAATAGAGTTGTGTTTGTCCAAAGAAAAAAATTAAGTTTTGTAATTTTACAGTTCATTTATTTCAGCAAGTAAAAACAACTTTTTTTTCTTTTCTTTATTTTGCCTAAAGGTTTCATTTTCAGAGGGTTTGTTTTCCAATCTTAACAAACTCGGAAGCTGTTCTCTAAATGTGCTTTATTTATATTTAAAACAGAGAACAGTCTGAGAGGACTGGCAAGAAAATGTCACGTTTTTTTTTAAACTTAATGCATTTTTGTAGATTACACTGTTGTTTTTACATTAGCCTTGTTTAATAGGAAAATCTTGACCATTAGTGGAGTTCTATGTAAAGCTTATAACCAAAAAAATATCTTATCCCTCTTAGATAGCTCTTTAAATACCCTCAGTTTGTAGAAATGGCTTTAAAGTATTGGATTGACGAGCTAATGGCTCTAGTTACAGCAGGGCCAAAATCAATTAAAAATAAAAATTTATATATATATATTTCAAATTGCAGTATTATTTACATAAACTTCCAGTTATTTTCATGTCTGAAATACTTGCTAATGTTAACGTTTCTGCTAAAACGGTTATTAAAAATTTTAGTCAATGATATTTGCATGAACGGCTATAAAAATTTAAAAGACAGCATGGTTTAAAGATGAAAAATCCACTTTATACTTTCTGAACTAGCTGCTCATCAGTCTGGGCAGAGTTTGATATATATATANATATAATATTTTTTTTTAGAGAGGGATCTACAACAGGTAAGATGTTTTTTGGTCATGGCTTTTCAATAGAACCACAATTCAAAATATTGCTGGAATATCCCTTTAAAGACTGCAGTTCAGTCTAGGTGTCAAGTTTCCACCTGCGAAGGGAGGAAAAGCGCAGAGCTCAGTTTGGTTTACAGCTGTTGCAGTTTTCTCCAGTTGAGTTTTTCACCTTCACTCTGTATCAGTTCTGTCTTTGTGTCTCTAGGCTCTCGCTTTCAACCAACAGTGGTTCCATTTTTTCACATCGGCCATTTCTTTTTCTTCTCTTTTTGTGTGACCTCTAATCAGTACTAATCAGTATTATTGATGGAAGTCATATGCCAACCAATTACCCGTAGCAATTTAGTGCAACTAATTAGAGCACTTCAGAAAAGGCTCTCAGAGACCCTGGTGTTGTCTTTAACTTTGTAGAGGACTAGAAGTAATAAGAAAAGTCACTGCTGTTTATAAAAAATGCATCTGTAGTAGCGTAGTTAGCAGTGGTAGCATTAGGTCAAATGGTGTAGTGTGCTTTAGGCTTTTAAAGTCTCTTTTTGTCGCAGGTTTTTTTTTTTTTTTTTGAGTGACAGTTAAACGGACACATCCTGAGAACGAAGCCCAGCTTTGTCTCCCCTGTCCCTGCTGGCCCTCAGTGCTGTCAAAACAGCAGCTGCTCGTCGTTCTGTCAGGACTCATGACAAGCGTCACGTCTTGGCCTCACATTTCCCTCTGTCTGACCCTGTGTGCATGCTTTAGGGAACATGTCAACCCACTCGCAGTGTTGCTGCATTTCGCTCCAGAAACCGCGAGTCTTCAGAGATCGGCTCCTGGTGCAGAATGTTACGTTACAGTGCATGGCTATCAATAGATCGGCTCAGTAATATAAAGCTAAGTGATGTGTTGTTGTATAAATGTGAATGCTAGTTAGTTTGATATGTACAGTATTTATTGAAAAAGGCCAAACTTTTTTGTGTGTTTAAACACTTTTATTTTCTGTGCATTTAAAGATTGTGTTGTGACAAAGTCTGACCTGATTTGTGATTTTAGTCGTGCCAACACATTTGTTTACATTTGATTTCAAGATGTTTTTACAGAATATTTCTGATGTATTGTGTAATGTGTGTACGTGAAGTGTCTCAGCCTCTGGCTTTTAGCTCTTGGAAATTAGGTGGAGCTTTAATAAACTCTTGATTTTTTCCCCCCCTCACCTTATTGCTGCAGTGATAAATGAGTGTCAGACAGCTAATTAATTGTTCTAAAGGTGCAGCATCGGTGGTCCGTTTGTGCGTTTAATGCCCCCTGTCATGAGTGATTTATCACCTGGGAAATGGCCTTCTTGTTTTGCTGGGGTGGCTCTGAAGAAATGTTACTTCTCAACCCACACAGATTACAGACTCAAACACATCTGCAGTCACATCCAAAGTTCCTTTAAAAAAAAAACAGTAACAGCTTGTAGCCTCGCCGCAGATTGCTAATATCTTCATATTTGCCTCGGGCCATTTTTTATGCTGCAGAGCAGAAACATGTTCTGTTGGGGTCCACGGCGGGGGTCACAGTCGTGAGTGGAACTTATGAAGTGATCACTTTGCGTGAGCTGCATGCACATTGATTTGCAAGTCAATACACCTTTACAGATACGGTATAATAGGGACACAAAAACAAGGATCTGCCTCATGATTATGGCAACCAGACTAATATTGAGCAGGTCCTTTTTAGGTCGGCAAAACAAGCCTGAACCATTGAAGCACGGAGTCAAACAGACATCTGAAGGTCTGCTTTGGTTTCTGACACCAAGCTGTCAGTAGACTTCCTCCAGCACAAAGCCTGTATATAGCTAAAGGCCTAGAATTCCTTGACGTAATGCATATTTCCCATCTTATAAGAAGAGACTATAGAGTTAAATATCACTAGAGTGAGTCCCACCTTCACTTTTAGCATCTGGGACAACATGAAGGAGCAAAACTGGCGGCAGCTCACAGCAAATAAAACTATTTGATTAACAGCAAGCACAGCTGGTTCTGTGTCTCAATGATTTTACAATAAATTAATTTGATTGGTAATTTCATTCAACAATCGTGTAAAGCAGCAGATGATATATAAGTAAAATATTTCATTAAAGCAACAATAATCTAAACCAGGGGTTCCCAAACGTTTCCATGCCAAGACCCCACAAACAGCATTAGCTTCTGACTGGAGATCCCGTTCCAAACCCACAAATACTGCTACAAACTATGTAAAAACACATCAACTTTTAGAATGTTTTTTCTCACTTTTATTCACCAGTCAATAAATTAATACACTTGTTTAGAATAGGAATTTTATTAACGTTTTAATCTTCATTAAATTCCCAATGAAAAAACTACTTTTCAGCAAACTGTTGATAAAAACTGAACAAAAGAAATCAAACTTCTTTTAAGCTCTTAAATAACATTTCAATATATAAATAAAATTTTAAAATGATCAAAAAACATTTTACTTTACGATAATGTAAATATTTATTAGGTCATGTTTTCTTTTTTCCCCTTTTTTTTTCCTCCAGCATTCCAAGGCCCCTCTACTTCCCCCGATGCCCTCCACTTTGAAAAACACTGGTCTAAACCAAACCTAAAGTCAGTCAATAATGTTTAGCTTTTATGACTTCACCTAGTAACAATGTATATTTATTATTTTTTACCCTTCATGAATAGTAATAATACATATTTACCAGTCAACACTTAGAAAATGTTGACTTTAAACCCAGTGGTACTTTAGGATGAAACTTGTCTCTATTGATATTGGCTAACCAACTACTTAACAGGTCAGATTTGTCTAATAGTAACATAAAAAT